CTTTTTTCTATATTATTTTCCTTATTACAGTTTGCATTCTTAAATCAATTTTAATACCCCTCAACGATATTATTTTAGTTTTTAGTTCAACAGACAGTGTTGCCCATAACAATAAATAGCGGCAACTACATACTCGCCCCTCTTGGTATTAAATATTTCCCTACTATACGAGAAGAACCAATGAGAGCATTAATCGTAAAAGTTAATTGAGTGTACAATGTACAGGGGTAAATAAGGGATTTCAGTCGCATTATTTTATATAAATTTAAAGTGTTGCCAATCACCAAAGAATAATGGGAACAGAATACATCTCATTTCACAGATGCCCTTTGATCATAGATATTTACTTAAAATTTTCTTACGCTCACTTTTTGTTTAAATCCTTAGATATGAGGTATCTGAAATACATTTAACACTCTCCCCAGTCAACGAAAAATATATTCTTAACTACCACCATAAAAAAAATTGGGGAACGGAAAACTCGATCAAAATTGGGGAACAAAATACTCGATTAACGCAATCACAAGTGGGGAACAAAACACTCGCTTAGCACAAATAGCAGTGTTTCCGCTTCGCGTTGAATGACACTTCAAACAGCTGTTTTCGTTTTTTCATCGGTGCGTATTTGCCACAACATTTCTCGAGCTACGCATTTTACGAACATTTCCATATTTTAGCTTGAATAAAAACGTACAAAAATGGTTGCTGGCGGCGCATCAGACACGGGTGGCGTGAAGCCCATGTCCATTGCGGGACGCATGGTGCGCGAGCGTGAGCGTCTCATCGGCATGACGCCCGAGGAGCGCGCCTGGCGCAAGCAATGGCTGAAAGATCAGGAACTGCACCATGGTCCCCGTAAGGTGCCCGCCCTCGAGCTGGAGCTGAACAATCCCATCAAGCGTATCTACCGTGCACCTTTGGACGCGGTGTGCAAAGCTCTGACGCCCGCGCTGGTGCGTGCAGTATTTGTTGTTATGTAATCGGCAGAAAATCAAATTCAATTCATTTGCAATTTCTCGCAGGGATTCCAGCGTGCCTACACCGTGCGCTACTGGACAGGCAAGGCGCTGATTGCCCTAACTGGCGTCTATAGCCTTGCTTACTATTTCAAATACAATCAGAATGTAAGTATCTTCTTGACAGACTCCGTTCCACGTTCTACTATATTACTACTATATTCCTCGTTTCAGGATTGGACGCGTAAGGGCGGCTGGCGTGTTATATCCTCGCGCAAGGCTTGCGTGCCCGGCGATGAGGGCTTTCCCCGTCTTTCGGATCGTTCGGCGCCGTCGGACTATGCGGCGCGCGGATTCAAGGAATCGGTCATTTAAAGTGCAGAAACTTCGTTTAAAACTTTCTTTTTAAATTAATGTTAGCCAAAAATGAGAAACTCAATTCTAAATAAACATGGAACAACATCAACATGTGTATATGATATTTAATATATGTGTAGACTGTTGATGTATGGAGCACTGTACATGGTCATTGTATTACGGCTTATGATACCTTATGTGGAGAGCGTATGTTCACTTTGTGATTAGCTCTGCAATGGAGTGGTAAAAATATGCACTAGAAATTACATACCTTAGCTTAATTTTCTGTTGGTCTATAGATTTTATCTGTGAGGGTATTCAAAACACTTAATGCTTTCAAATGTATTTTTCGTTTAAATTCAATTATTCAATTCAATTAATTTTGTAGTGTTTCCTCAATAAATATATGCATACAAGAGATACTTTAATCTATGTAAGGGCATTTGATATTCGACTATTCCGCTTTTATCTTACTGCTGCGTTCTGCATTTTATACGCTTTTTTATATATTTATTCATTTCTGTTGCTCAAACGCTGCTTCGGCACTTTTCTGCAGCTGTGCCCAATTTGTTACTATTGTAGCTTTTGTTTTATTGTCATTTCGACTTCTCAAGTATAGAATTAAAATAAAATTCGCTGCGCTAAAAAGTTTTCGGTTTGTTTATATACTTTTTTAAAGCTAAATAAAAATTTAACCGAATTCGCGCGCGGGCAATCATTCGAAAATGATTACAATTACAAGTAAAGTCGGTAGTTCAGCTAATATTTCTCAACCATTAACATAGGTTGCGTTAAAATTTACAAATTACATTAAAGAAAAAAAAATAAAATATTTTTTCCATACTTAAATAATTTGCAAACAAGTGACGTTTTCGTATATATCTTTAATTTAAACGCTTTTTAAGCATTAAAAAAATATATAGTCTTTTTACTATTATTATTATTTTTTATTTATTTATTTGTTGTTTGTTTTGTGAATGCTCCATTATAAATAAATAAAAATTTAAAATAGCCCCGCCACTCGCGCGGCATTCAATGTTTACACTCGCTCGCTGCGAATGGCATACCTTAAAACTATCGCTTATTGATGAGTAAGCAAGTGTGAGCGTATCTTCACTAAAAAATGCTCTTTTATCGCTTTATTCTCTTCCACTCTGCAACGGCGACGGCGCAGTTCACTTGGACTTTTGTAAAACTGAAAAAAGTTTATGGTGATCCTGAGGAATTGTGAATATAGCTGCGCCCAAAACAACACACACAATTGCAAAACACTGGCGTGAAATAGATCTTGACCGCAATTGGCCTTGGACTGGAGCGTGTGCCGGTGTGTGGCAAAACCAACAAAAAAAAATTATATATAAGAAAATACTAAGCACCGTACGGTGTGTTAATGTGTGTGTATGTTGTGTGCGTGTGCAATTTGTAAATTTTTTCATCCGCGTGGAGAGCGCATTGGAGCCCACACATTATTCGACTGCGAAGTGCGCGCGTGGCTATAGGCAGATATAGCCACCTAACCAACCCCAAATGCAACAACATCATCCACAACAATAACTACAATACCAGCATAGAAAGTCTTCATCCGGAACAGGTGAGTGTGAACAGCAGCAGCAGCAGCAGCCGCTCTGTCCGCTAGACAGGTTCAAAGCTCCGTTTTGGCTACGTACATAATTTAGTTCTCTCTTGATTATTTTTGCAATACATGCGATGCCGTTGCTTTTAGTCGAAAATATTGGTTAAAAAAATTTTTTTCTTATGCTCTTGCCTTGTGTTCTATGGAAAAAAAGAAGACAAAAAACGTTGGCGTCGCTGTCAACGTCGTTTTCTGCGCTCTCCCAAGTCACTTGGGCCAAGTGGCTCGTCGCCTCAGCTGTCATTTTATGCTGAGAGAGAGAGAATAAAAGAGAGCAAGTGCGGTTGACGTCGACGTAGCTTCCCGCGCGCGGGAAATTTACAACTTTGTTCATTCATAACTCATCCAAATTTGCAATGATTTTTGCAGACTTTATCAAATTAGATTCTGTGTGATTTAACCAATCGAATGCATATACTTGCACATATGGTTTCATTTAGAAATACATTGCTGGAGGCCAGCAAACTTGGTGCTAAAAACAACAAAATTTGACGCGCGAAAACAACAAAGCTGCGGCGGTTTGTTTGTGTGTGTGCAGCGTTGCCATCGGTTCGTCAGATTGGATGTGGGTAAAGTGTGTAAATGTAAACAGTCGGTGTAGTGACCCAAATACAAAGAAATTTTTGTATTGTTTTAATACATTTCAGTGCCAAAAGTGCATTTTTCATAAAAACTAGTATTTTTATGCA